TTACAACATATTTTCTACTACACATTGTTCTTTATCGATTGGTTTCTTATACAATCGTGTTACATTTTCTTGCCGGAAGCCTGAATGGAAATGTCTCGTGCCTTAGAGCCACTCCCACACCCATTTTTTGAGCCATCTTGACCGTGGATCTGCATTAGCGTGTTGGATCAAGCTTGCGTGAGCACGAGTGGGCCCGGCATCTGTTGGCAACATTTTTTGGGGTCAACACCAGTCATGAACTAAGTCATGTTCACATTATTTTTCATGAACCAAGTGAGGCGTAAGGCCCACAAGTCGTCTTGTTTGAGCTTGTGGGCATGAACCAAAGAGCGGGCTTGTATGATCATGGGTCGGCTCATTTTTTGGTCTCATTTTTTTATTTTATTTCCGTCATTCTCTTAAAAGAGGAAATCCCTCATTCACTGTTCATTTTTGTCACACGAGTTTTCACACTTGCCAGTTTCCAATCCAATTTTGCTACAGTACGTAGTCATCTTTGTTGACTATTGCAGTTGAAATTATATAAATATCTTCTACATATCTCTTCTAAGAAGTATATTCCAATTCATTCTTCTACTCAAATCTTTTCAATTCTCACTCTTTGTCTCTCACTTTTCTCTCTCAGTGGCACCGTGAAGTTCCTCGAGTAAGGTTCAATTCTTACTCAATTCTCATATTTACGTGTACAAAACGTTTACAATCGTTGATATGTTATGTATGTTGCCTAACGAAGACGTTTTGAGTTTTAAGTTATATACTACGTTGAATTTCTGGGGATATCAGTTTTTAACTGATTTGATGAGTGTTCTACTATATTGGGGTTTTGGATCTATTGACTTTTGGGTAATTAGTTGTTGGAAATGCAATCTGAACATTTTCCTGTGTAGTGGTGAAGATTTAATGGATGTAAGATAAAGCTTTGGAGGAGATATTTATATAATTTCAACTGCAATAGTCAGTTGAAATTTCAAATCCTTTAATTGTATTTTGATGAATTTTAGGATTTATTTTTTACACACAGAGGCCTTATAAGTTTGCTTATTTTACTTGATGGGGAGAAAAAAGTAGCATATACACACAAACAATTCCAAACTAATGATTTTTTTAAAGTTTGTTCAATAAGATGACATTCTGATTACCAGTAAAACTTTAGCAATAAATTTCATTTTTTAGCTTAAAGATTGAGTCAATATATCATTCTAATGAAAAGACATGTATATAACAATTGGAGTACAAGATATAAATCATTTTCTCGTAAATTATTGTTAGCAAGTAAAATAAAAAGAAAGAAAAAACCTGAAACAAATTTTTTTTGAAGACTCCGCACAGTGTAGAGTGTTCTTCGCACGCGGTGTAGAGTCACATTCCATACACTGCAGAGTGTTCTCTGCACAGTCCAATTGTGTTTTTTTTTTCTTCTTAAAAAATATATATTTAATGTAAAATCAATTTTCATTAAATAAATATTAAAACTTTATTATATTATTAAATAATATAAAATGAATAAACCTTATCTTATCTCCTTCCACACATATCTTATCTTAATCCTTTGTCTCCTCCATTCAAACTCTCGAAATTTTCTCCCATTTTACAAAACTTTTGTATACTCCAAGTAATTCTCAGTCTAAAAATACACTAAGCACAAATTGGGTCTAAAGATAGCATCCCATTTACATTTTTTTTAGTCTTCATTTTTTTCTTTTAAATAAATAAATCAGAATTTTATTAATTTGATACATAAAATCAAAATTCCACTTATTTATATTTTACAAAAACCATAAATACAATTTCACTTATTAATAATTTAGTTCAAAAACATTAGAAAATATTCAATTCTATACATACATGAAACTCAAAATTCATTTAGGGGGCGTAGCCCCCAACCCCCATGACCTGACCGGGCAGGTCGATCCTCAATCCCCACGAGGGGCGCTACCCTCTCGACGCTCGCAATATTTGATTTACTTGATTGATATTTGGTTCACTTGAGAAGTTCAAGCAGAGAAAGCAAAGAAATTGGAGAGATCTGCTTTAGAATCTATGGAGTCTGTCACGAAACAATTTGAAGAAAGCAATGATTCATTGCAAGATGTATAATCCGAGATCGCATCATTCAAAGAAAAATAGAATTGCTGGAAATCACAATTAGAAAAAATTTGGATGTTTCACGGCTCATCTGGCACATCGATATCTCATCCATTGCTACAATAAAATCTTATCGATCCATACTTGCTACAAGAAAAAAATTTATTTCATTTTAGATGTCAAATATCCCAAGTGTATAGCCTTTCCATGCAATAGGTTATCCTCTTCACCCCATACTTGCTCTTCAAATTAGATGAGAAAGGCAATTTAATTTATTTGAGTATTATTCATTGTATTCTTGAATAACTTATGTGTCTTATTTGTATGTCCAGTCTCAAGTATGTTGAGTACTGTTCAGTAATAACATCCTTTTATTAAATTCCTCCTCCTAAGCATCCCACCATTTCAAATACAGGGTGGGGGCATGAATGCCCAGTTAAGGGTTAGGTAAGTGAATGAATATTTTTTAACATTTATCCTTTTCCAATTGAGAACAGACAAAAAAGAACAATATATTTTTAACCAGTGTTATGTTTCTCTCAGATGCATGAGCAATGACTTTGGTAACAACCTCTTATCACACCTTATAGGTTCGATGTTTGGTATGCATCATAGAAGAAATGTTGAAGCAGACATAAGGGAAAGCTTGAGATAGAGAGCTTGTTGGAATCAAGAGGCATATATTATACTGCTCTGAATTATGGAGGAGCTGGAACTACACATACGATTTTTCAAGACAAAAAATATTTTT